TTCCTGTTCCTCTTCCTCATCATCATCATCATCATCATCACCATCGTCATCACCATCATCATCCTCTTTCTCATCCTCTTTCTCATCCTCGCTCTCATCCACCACGTCTGATTTCTTCACCATTTTGGAGCGAAGATAATCCATATCAGACAGACCTTCCTTCAGAGCCTCCTTGGTAGTATCTGCAACAGACAGAATACGTCTATTATCAGGCACGAGACTTTATATTCGTTCTCACTTCAATAAAGCACCACAGTGTACTGTTTCACTCATTAAATAACACACTGAAACATACAGATCTATTTGTGAAGAAACGTTTGCATTCTCTTTCATAAAAAATATCAATCAAGTGTCCCATTTAGGTCAAAAGCACACTGTTTCATGATTTTAACATTCAAAGAATGTGAGAAACAAGGACACACCCTGATTATCATCTTCCTCCTCAGAAGCATCCTCATCATTCTCATTGTCGCTCATCTCCTCCGACTCATCAGAGTCAAAGTTTAAGTAGTCGTCACCGACAGCCTTCTTCTCTTTCTTCTTCTCTTGCTTTTTGCTCTTCTCTGTTCCAGCAGATGCAGCTTCTACAGAGTCATTGGCCCACGTTGGCACCAGTGTGCGTTTTTTGTGCACAGCCAGAAACTCCTGGAAACCTGGATCTTCTTCCAGCTGAGGATCGGGGAGAAGACAACTTTTTACAGAACGTAATCTTTCAACACGATCCATTTAGAAACTGTACTGATCTGCAGTACAGGGTATGCAGCACTCTCTGTTGGACAATTCACTTTAAATCATTTACAGTACATCTGTACCAGCCTGTCAGTTACAAAATATATTCCTGACACTCAAAAAATATTTTTCTAAATACATCTGTTCTTATTCTTTGATAGTTAAAACACTGAGCTATACTGTACTGTTTAGTGATTAAATCTAAACAGTACATGAAAATGGTAGTAGTTACAGCGTTAGTAACATTCTGTATTCTGTATTCTGAAAAGCTTATGCACTGAGTAATAATGATGGACAGCGGTGAAACAAACAGCAAACTTACTTCTCCAAGAAGAGTAACAGGCTTTTTTTCCTTCTTTCCCTTTGAATAAAGAGAAAAGGGAATGTGTCATCAAAACAACTCTGCTTACATTCTACATTGCATCATGTTTTTAATTCTTATACGAGATTCAGCACTTTTTCATAGTAGTGATAAGGTGGTACTTACAAAATTCAGTCTGGTATTTTCAGAGAGTATCACCATATCACAACATCAGATGATACTAAATTTAGCATTAATATGGTTAACGAACCCACCCTTTCTGAGAACTGCTATTCTATGCTAAAAGAATATCTTATAAACCTGATATAGTTTTAATTGGACTGTTTTGTTGGGCTTTCTACTCTAAAATTGCACCAAAATGAATTTACACCAACTCTAAAATAACTCTCAAAATTACACCAAAAAAACGTACAACTTCTGTCATTTTAATGGATTTTAAACAATTCTTTCAAACAAACAATCGGAAGCTTCAAGCAAATAGAACATTGTTAGATAATTAACTGTCAGGTCCTGAATATTATAAATGTGTGTAATAAGTGCAAAACATTATTACATGCCAAGAAAAAAAAAAGAGAATGTCAACAAGAACACTTTTAACATAGATTGTATTAGAGTTGGGCAATATGACAATATCTACTGCTATCGTGATAAATTACATCACAATATGTCACAATATGCTTTTTGTATGAGTATGTTGTGGATATCGTCAGCACTTAAAAACACCTCCCAACATGTTTGATTAAAAAAGAGCACAATTAGTCCTGTTTAGTTGGACAGACCAGCACAGTGTGTTACATGTTGAATACAAGTAACTGAATTCATAGACTTCACTGTTCTAACTAATCAGATCAACTTTCAAATCTCACCTTCTCATCTTGGTTCTCTCTTTTTTCCTGTTTCTGTTCAGCCTTTGGCTCCTTTGGTTTCTCAGCCTGGCGACTGTGCTTGCTCCAAGGTCTGCTTTTGTTGGGGTCTCCTAAATCTGTACAGAACTCCACCTGAAATTGAACAGAAAAAAGGATAAGAACAGATCACATCTCAATAAAACGACCTGATAACCAATAGTCAACATAAGATCAACCAACGTCACTACCAAGATGTCGTAAACTACTCACCGTCACTCTGGATGTGTCTACAAAGCTTTTGTTGAAATGTTTCAGCGCCTTTTCTGCATCTTCCTCACACTTAAATCCCACAAAGCCAAATTTCCGGAACTTGCCGTCTTTGGTGAACTTCAGCCCGCAATCTGTCAGCGTCCCGAAGGCCGAGAACATTTTACGGAACCGGTCCTCCTTCATCTGGATCAAGATATAACCACTGAATATTATTTTACCACATACACTCTGCCTGTTAAAAGGTCAATTTGAAGAGTTTTAGTAATAATTTTTAAATTTTGCTTTATTACTGTATCCATTATTGACTTATTACAGATGAAACACTGAATGTAAGTCACATAATGTGCCTAGTTACCTATTACAACCTGACTACAAGGGTTTCAGTGTGACTATGTTGATTTTTAGTACTAATTTTTAATGTATTAACTTAACCATGCTATATGACTTCTGTAGTGTGCAAGTCATCCCCCTAGGTGCCCAATACAACTTAAAATTGTTTCAATATTATTTTCTTGAGTATTAGTAATAATTTGAAAATGTATTATTTTTAGTAATAATTTAAAATTATTACCAAACAAAATAAAATATAAACCTCAACTAAAACATAAACCTTCATAGCTGTAAAGGTTATGCACTTTTTAGACGTTCCCTTACACAGCAACGCGTCGGTGTTTTGCTGTTAGGAGCCTTTAGATTCAGGTAAATTTACCGAAGGACACTTTTAAAATATATTAGGTTGTTGTTTTTCGCAGGAGTGAGAAAGTGAAGGTGTGATCGTTTTCGCAGGTTTACTTCGTAAGAAATCGATAAGAAAAAGTCGAAAAGAGACTAAAGTACACTAAAGAAGTTGTTGTTCAACTTAAATTCGTACTTCAACCTCAGGTCTGGCACCTTAAACTGGGTGCTTATGATAATCGAGGCAATGTGAAATATTATTTGTACATTCACAGATGGAACCACCGCACTGCTGCACGAGACTAAGGCTATAATCAGAGCAGCTCGTGCGCAAAACAAAGACTAATCACACTCACCCCATTCGGGAGATTTTTTACAATCAGCCGAGACATTTTCTCCTCTTTTCTCCAGTCTTTTTCTGTTAAATAATCCCAAAAATGACTTATCAACAAGTAAGCATGGGTCCTCTCACTGCGTCGCCATCTTTGCGTGATGACGTAGAAGGCTGGAGAGTCCTGAACGCTCTTTACTGCCCCCTTCCGAGCAGCAGAGGTACAGGCTCTGAGACACTGACACTTTTTTATGAAAATGTGTGGATTTACACTGTTTTTCTGCCTTAAAGTGTCATTTAATACGTTGTTCGTCATGTTATGTCACACTCTGTAGCGCAGTATTGCATCAGTTTGACAGAATTCACTATTTTGTATCTTATATCTTATGTATTTTTTTTAGAAAACAGTGCACGTCATATGCATATACAAATATGCATATAACAGTGTACACATACATTAATAAATTTGCTAGGGGGATATACATAACAACACAAAAATCTTGAAGTACATATATGCTTTAACAGTTCTAATAGCTTTTTGTTTTAAAGATGGCTGTATTAATTCAATATAATGTCCCATCTCCTTTTCAAAGGCAACAAAAATGGGTCCTTTGCCTGAGAATTTACACTTATGAATATAAAACCTAGCCATTGAAAGTATAAGATTTATCATATATACATGTAAGTATTTAGCTCTGTGATTTTCCAAAATACCAAATAATACATTTCCACAATAAACAACACTTCACATCGGTATGATGAACAATAAAGGCACTGAGGTTTGACATTTTCTTGCATACTGTCAATGCCAAAACAGGTGAATGGTTGTCTCTAAATAGGTACTATTTAATTTTTGTATTGTGTTTTCCTTGGTCAGTGTTCTCTCACGTTCAATTCCCAGTAAGCATTATGCACATACAGTGCTGAGCAAACCCTTCATTTATTTACTTTCAATTGTCAATACAGCCATTTTTTTATTTAATGTCACAAAAAAGCAGAACAAATATATTTAACAGAAAGTTAAACAGAAGGCTCAACAACTAAATATACAACTAAAAATTCAGCATTTACTGTGTCCACTTTTCATCTTCATTACAGCTTCAATTCGTATTAGGAGACTTGCCTTCAGTTTTTCAAAGAAATCTGAAGGGATATTTTTCTACAACTCCAAAATGCACTCTTAGTTGCAGTTTCTTACAATCTAAGTAATCCCAAACATATTCACTGATGTTTAGGTCTGGACTTTGGTGTGGTCAGTGCACTCTTCTGAGTATACCAGCAGCTTCTTTTTTTGATTTTCTTCCTTTTTTTTCCTTTTCTCAGTAAGGGCTTTTTGTCAGCTCCACATCCTTTTCAGACTCATAGCGATGACAGTTTTGGTGGTCTACCAGGACTTGTCTAACTGGTAGGAGTTTTTTTTCTCTACATTGTTGAATAGTTTTAAAACTCCAATGTTAGACATTTTCTTATGCAAGTGGATTGTCTTATATCTAATCCTCTTAGAAATATTTGCTGAAAAATGAATAACTTGTACTTAATAGCCATTTTGAATGTTAACAATGGCATTTTGAACATCAATAATATTTTTTACAGGTTTTCTACTACTACATGTTGTCCAGTGGCATCCCACTGTCCTCATTAGAGTTGTATAATGTCTTAATAGAGATCTATCTGCCTGCATCCTTTGTTTCCTGGTTCTGCAAAAACTGTGAGGCTACCTGGCTAAAGTTGAAAACAGAGACATCTTTTAATGATACAAAATATTTTATTACAACTAAATAGTACACAACATGTACAATAAGATTTTTCTTTATAAACAGACAATAAATAAACACACAATAAATATTAAATAATTCCCCCAAAAAGAGCTGAAATAAGATGTGTAAACATTGTCTCTCATCATGATATAGAACAGGCCTTTCATTTCCATTTACTCAAAGTGAAATTGGCCATGTGGTTTAAACATTTTAAGCATTTTCTAGCTAGCTTTTAATGTTCATAATGTCAACAAAGTAAAGATACTTCAACCACACAAAAATATAGTGAGTTAGTATTGCAACGCCCTTAAGTCTAATGGTCTATCTTGAGGCTATACTGTAGCGATCCACTCTCGAGGTGGCGCAACTGAACATCAAGCTGAAATAACAAATAACTTGCAGCAAAAGGCCAGACCGTCACAAGTACTCCACTATTGGGGTCTTCTGATTTGGCCACCATTTGAAACGACAGTACAAATTGAGGGTCTGTCATGGCACTGTGTACATTTACAAAACACATACCAAGTAACAAAGCATGAAAAAATAACAGTACAAATATCAGTCCTTTCTTTTTCAGTCATTATTCCATTGAAGTCCATTGGTCCCAAATGAGGTCCACTTCAGGATGGAGGAGCATTCTGGGTGGATTCAAGTAGCTCCTTTCGAGTTCCCTCTAAAGTCTAAGGGCAGCTGTGCTTGTTAGAGTTCAGAGTTCAGAATAGTGCAACTCTGGTGAATCTGGCCGTCACACTGCAAATACATCCACAGGACCAGTGGGATCTTGAAGACCCAGAATGCTGTAGGCCATTCTTTTTTGGTGGCCTGGCAACTGCACCCCAATCTTCTTGATATCCCTAAGTTAAAGAATGAGAAGGAAAAGTGAGCTTTGTAAAGTTTGGATGCATAGTAAAAGATTAGAATTTGTTAAAGCATCGTATTGTTAAAGTTGTATAGGTGTTCACTTACTCAGTCTTCAGATGCAACACCTGCTCCATGGTTGTGATACCAGCATGGGCAAAGGCTTCCTTATACTGGCCCATCTTCATTGAGTCCAGCCATTCATCCACAGACCTGAAGGGGGCGCCATCGTTTCCACTAGTGCTTGGCAGGCGAACAGACACTCTGAGGGAATGAATCATTATGGAGTTAATTAATATACATTACAGCCCAATAAAACTCATTACTAAACAGTCATAACTCATCCAGCCCTGACACTTCATCTCTTCCATATTACAAAGGCATTTCTCCTGTTTAAACTTCTAATCCACTTGAATTTTATTTCTCCTGTATTAGTTTTAATTGAGGTGAATCATAATAGGCTGTGATTCTTACCGTAGGTCGACACTGGCGATGGCTGTAAGTGACTCGGGGTTGTGCAGCAGCTTGTCTAGCAGATTGACGATATCAAGGAAGCGTGGGCGTTTGGAACGATCCTGCATCCAGCACTGCAGCATCAGCTGGTAAATAGCAGATGGGCAGTCCATTGGCGCCGGCAGCTTGAAGCCTTCATTTATGGCCTTCATCACCTGAGACAGAAAGAGGAAAGAGAAGTCAACTCCCTGCACTGTAAACCCACACCCAGTGAGTAATACGACTTCAATAACCATCATTAAATACAGTCATCCATATATAAATCCATATACGTATAACATATAAATGAACCCTCAGTGAATTCTAGGCCTTCAGAGAAGCCTTAATGATTTCTGGGAACTATAAAGTACATGTCTGTAACTTTTAGCTCTTTTGAATTCGATAGACGCATATTTAAAGTATTACAATGCTACTCTTTTCATTGTTAAGTTTAGGATGGAAACAAAAGGGTTAAGTTTTTGAAATGTCCAGCAGAAAACTGGCCAATCAGTAATTGGTTTCCTTCCAGTATCTAGGTAAATATAGCTAAGCAAATTCTCCTATTTGTTAGGACTTCAGGAGCTGAAGAGAAGGCCTAATGTCTTCAGATAAACCATCAGCATAAGTATGAAGAGGCAGAGGAATCAACCAATAGGTGGGACCAACTGTGTGAGAAAAAACTAGGACTTCTGGAAGTTCTAGATATGTCACTAACTGTAAATAAGAGCAGGAGTCTAATCAGTGGGTTGTTAGAAATGGAAAGTAGTGGCAGCAGCTCTATAGAACTCTCTACTTAAAAGGTAAAGTATATGGTAATATGTCTGTCACAAGCGTCAGATAAAACATACAATGTATTTTAGAAGCTTCAAATGTCTATGTTTAATCTAGAACCGCCAAAAATGTTCATGTGTATCACTGTTAGCTTAGGGCTAACAAACTACTTAAATCTCATAGGGATGCAAGCAGAAGTTAGCATTATTGTAGAGGTGTTTTTTCCCCTCTTTGGGAGTTTTGACATTTATGGCACAAAGTCAATGCCTAGCTCTAATAGTCACGGTAGCCACTGATATATATGCATAATATCGCCGGCAGAAAAAACCTTGTATCTTCAAAATGGTAAGAAAAAAAACATTTTAAACTTTTAATGAATGTTAAAGTAACAAGATTTTATTCCAAGTAATTTTGGACTGTTTCTATTGGTCTGTTTATCATGAAATGAACAATGTAAAAGAATGGTCATACAAATGGATATCCAACAGCGACAATACATATACATATATATGTTACACATATATGTCATATGCTTTTTTCCTATGTGTTGGGTGCAGTATACTTTTATTTATGTTGTAGCCTAAGAAAGACGTATCTTTCTACTGAAGAAGTATATTTTGAACATGCTGGGTAAAAAGATGCTGTACCTCATGGTTACTCATGTCCCAGTAGGGTCTCTCTCCAGAGGTCATGACCTCCCACATGACTATGCCAAAACTCCACACATCGCTAGCTGAGGTGAACTTCCTGTATGCTATGGCTTCTGGTGCCGTCCAGCGAATAGGAATCTTTCCTCCCTAAGAAACAGTAAAAAAAAATGTCATATGTTATTTTTCGTTTTGACTTCATTCTAATTTAAGTTCATGCATATTTTGGTTATGACCATAAAGATCATTGATAAAAGACGCTTACGCTGGTTGTGTAGGTGCCTTCAGGATAGTCTTCCAGAACACGAGACAGGCCGAAGTCTGAAACCTTGCACTCCAAGTTGCCATTGACCAGAATGTTGCGTGCAGCAAGGTCTCGGTGCACGTAGTTCATGTCAGAGAGATACTTCATCCCTGCTGCTATGCCATTGAGCATGCCCACCAACTGATAGGATGACAACTCTCCATCATGGTCCTGTGCATTAAATTATAGCCAGACATTAATTTAAGTGATCCATGCGAATGACCAAAAATAATCAAAGCAAACATATGAACTTCAGAGTGTTGACCTACCCTCAGGTACTGATCCAGAGCACCGTTCTCCATGTACTCGGTGATGATCATGGCATGTTTGACTGAAATGAAACAGAGGAATCCAATTAGAACATGACAAACAGTCATCGGCCACTGCGACATGACTTTCTGTACATGCTGAATGACTTGAACGAGTGGGTGCTCAGAGACAGAGAGCTGTGATGCTGACGAGTTTACACGTACATTTAGTGACGACCCCCTCCAGGCGTATGATGTTCTGGTGGGAGAACTGGCCCATGATGCTGGCCTCGCTCAGGAAGTCCTGCCGCTGCTTCTCTGTGTAGCCGGGCTTTACAGTTTTTATCGCCACGGCAACCTCACTGCGTCCCGGCAACTTCAGCAGACCACGGAACACCTCGCCAAATTCTCCTGTGGGACAAGAGGGAAGCAAGATCGATGACTTACTGTATATTGCACTTTCAAATTGAATTAAATTAAATTACTTTCAAATTGAAACAGTAATAAATTTGCCATCAATTCAATGCACATCTTTGTTACTTTAATAGCTAAAAATCTCAGTTTGTGGAAGAATCTGAAATTTGAAATGAATTAACATTACCAGATATTAAGGTATAAAATGTATATATGGAGACATCTTTACCTGCTCCAATAACTTTCTGCTTGGTGATGTAATTGGGGTGAATTTCACTGGCAAACTTGAGGACAGCTGTGCAGGGGTCTTCGTAAGTGTGTGGGTCCACATAGGTCTTTAGAGGCTGCAGTTTTTCTGTGGCAAAGAAAAGAGAGCACATTTACAGAACAATCTATCTATCTATCTATCTATCTATATATATATATATATATATATATATATTATATATATATATATATATATATATATATATATGCATTGAGAATTTGAGATTTAGTATACATGTACAATACATGTATGTAAAATATAACAACACTGAATGTAAATAAGCATTTATTATACTGTATGTAGCATATAAGGTCAGAAATTAGTGGGAATGTTAAGTTACCTGGACAGGCAAAGTAGTTGCCTCCTGATCTCTGTCGGACATGTGAATTCAGCCTCCTGATAACAGAAAGGGCAAGGTCAAAATTACACTTTACACATTACTGATGATTATTTAATGAGAGTGGCTTTGAATCAAAGCGGGAATGTAAACAGGAGGCCACTGGGTGGAGAGGGTGAGGCGTGCAGAGTGCAGGCCCAGGAAATCCTGTGCCGATGTTAAGGAGGAGATATGATAAGGACGGAATGAGGAGAGGAGGAAAAAATGATGAAGACTTCTCTTACCTTTTGTGCAGTAGCAAGATGACCACCACGATAAGCAACATGACTGCGCCTCCAGCGATAGCACCCATGACAATCATGGAACTGCCCTGTGTTTGTGACTCAGCTGTTGGACAGGAATAAAACATGTTGTTACATGCAAATACTGTCTTATTACTTTAATTATTTGTGGCAAAAAATGCTTGACAGACACACAAATTCACACCCTTACCCAGGGGTAGAGTCTCAAACTCATGCTCTGCACTTTGACTGCTGGGATGGCCCTCTGGTGTTAGTGTCTGAACACGAAACACATACTTAGTTCCGGGCAAGAGGTCACTAATTTGGACAGAGTTTCTCTCCAGCTTCAGAACAGTGTAGGTAGTGAAGTCCTGTTCTGCCTGATCCTCCTGAGGAATGGAAAACAGAAGAAACCTTAGTGAAGAAAGAGGCTAAAAGACACAAATGAGCCTTTGAGGTCAGCAGAGAAGGAAAGAAAGAAAAGATAAAGGTGAGTATACCTTTATGCGGTACATGAGCTCATAGTGAGGCGAATGGAGAGAGGACTTGCGGTGATCCACAGCCCAAGACAGAGACAAACTAGTAGAGGTTCGGTCCACCACTCTGAGGAACGTCACTTTAGGAGGATCTGTAATTAGAAATATATGGGTAGCACCGAGCTTCATAGCATTTTAGAGGCTAATGTCCTAACTGCTTCATTTGCTAATGTCCTTCATCAATGTGCTTCATTTATTTGATAAATAAAGACACGAATGGTTCACAGACAAATCAAATTTACACAAATTTCCCCTTACCCCAAATGTAGTGGAACGACCAAGACATATTTAGTGCCCAAAGTTTAGTTTAGTTAAATTTGCACTGGAGCTTCAAGGCTAATGTAGCTAAAAAGTAGGGGTGCCCAAACCTTTTGTCTTGGTGGGCCATGGTGCAATGTTTGTAGTAGGCTGAGGGTTTCCAGTGAAATATTCATTTAATATGTCATGATATTCCAACTATGTATCTAGATCTCCAGTTTTTCTGCTTGTAATGCCACAGTTCCCCTCAAAAGTGCCTGTTAAATGTCTTACCTGTGAAGTGCAGCATGGTCGTGATGCTAGCGGAGGCTTTCTGACGACTGAACTGGGACACTCCATTCAAGACTTCCACTGTGAATGTGTAGTTAACGTGCGGCTCCAGCTCGCTGACTGTGACCTCTGGGGTGCGCAGAGCTGTGTGTGCAGATTGGAACTGCACCCTCGATCCACATGGTACACACATAGCGCCATCACAGCGCTCACACTTCACATCATAGGTGACATCACTCCTGCCGCCAGTGTTGCCTGGAGGTTTCCAGGTCAGTTTTAAACTCCCCACAGTAAGGAGAGGAGCGAACGTCAGGTCTTTAGGTGGGCCAGGGGGACCTGAGGGAGAGGAGGATTATGGGATCTCGGTTTATAGTGCGACAAAAGTAAATAATAATCTCTAAAAGCTTAATTTAACTAAATAATTTATTTAGCAAAGCTCTCCAGCCAGCATGACTTACCAGAACAGGGGGCAGAGCTGGGGTCAGTGGGCGCTCGGTAGAAGCCTTCCAGGCAGGGACACAGAAGTGCCCCAGGCCCTGAGTGCTGGGTGTTTTCTGGGCAGATTTGACACGGCTCACTGGAAACGGAGGACTTGTAGTAGCCTGCTTCACATGCTAAAAAAGACAGGAAAGAGTAAGTGAAACATTAGAATTTATAATTTATATAATATAATATAGTATCATTTGTATAAACTTGTAATAATAATAAAACATAGTACAGAAATCCACCAGAATATTATCAATTCATTTACTCTATGGCCTATAGTTTTACCCCACTATAACAACACTCTGTGTCATTGTTTCAGTCTCTGTTCTTGAACACTTGGGGCACATTTTGAGATCAAGTAAAGACAGGAAGACGTAAGTGGTGAATTTATCATGTGGCGAAATATCAATAAGCAAAACAAGCATGTGTAAGTAAGGTCCACATTACTAAAATATATAATAATAAACACAATTTTGTCTTTCAGAACTTGCTTTTGACAGTAACTGTGCATGTAATATATTTTGTTCATGGGGAAATTATGTATATGTTTCAATGAATTGAATTCAGTGTGTACAATGTTCCACCAGAATATTGGGCCTCCTTCACCAACCATTCTTAAGAAATTTCTTAGTAAAACCCACTTACACAGTTTTCACAAAGATTCTGACATCCACCAATGTTTTCTTATTTAGGATTTGTTCTTGGGTAAGAACAGAATCTATACACACTCAAGAGAACAAAGGTTCTGAAGTAGACTTTTTCTTAGGACTTTTCTCAAGAACGCATTTAAGAAAAAAACTTAGGAAGATATTAATGAATAAGGCCCATTGTTTATATAAGGTCTTCACATTTCTGCTTTGTGCCATTCGTCCTGCACACTTCAAGTACACTTTGTACACAAGAGTAGACTCTGCATTCTAAGCATGTACACATGTACATTGACAAACAGCCTCAAAAGTTCTTTGCCTTGAGCTTCCGTCAAACCCTACACTTCAAAGCCTATGGCTACTTAAGTGATAGAACCACAGGAGGCCACTGTTATCCCCTCTGCCCATCACAGAAGAACAATAGGTGCAAATGGATTCACACTGGTTGAGTTACGGACAGGATGAATCCATCAACGACGACACAAATCCTCACAAAAGATACTTATCACACCAGGACAGTGGACCTGCATTGATTCCAGCTTCCAACAGAAGCGAAGCAGTTAAGAGCGTGAGAAGCAACCAACATGTTTAAGCCGGGAATAAAAGCAGGCCGACAGAAAAGCTTTGAGCCCTGCAGGTGAGCTACACAGGGCCGCGAGGACGTCCGTTGGACAAAACAGGATGCGGGAATTGCGAGTGTGTATAGGCTTTATCCTCTCCTCCTTTCCTTCCTGCGGGAAGGGATGAGAACATGCTAGCAGAGAGGAATTCCGGAAAAGAGAGACTCGGCGACACTAACAATCATTAACAAAGAGGATGTTGGGGGGTCATGATTCTGAAGCATAGGAACAGTACAGACAAGAAGCTGGTGCTGCTGTATGTACTTTTAATGAGCATGAGAAACTCATAGGTTTGCAAAATCAGTTTGACTATGGATTCTACGCAGGGGTGCTTCTTATGAAAGGGTCCATGACCCCCCTGGAGGTCAGCCTTTCAGCCATCGTCTCAAACAAAAGGATGGAGTTTCAGTTTGACGAGCAGTAGGTGGTGCGGGTGTGCGAGTGTGAATGGGCCTGGCGCTTAAGGATTGCTGACAGAAGTTCTCTCGAGGGGATTTTCCGCAGGGGTTTGTGTATTTGCTGTGTGTTTGTGTGCATGTGAAAGACGGCATGTACGGTGGGGGTGGAAGAGATGTTCGCATATGAAAAGTAGCCTCCCTTTTCATTTTGTTTGAAGTCGGGAGTAGGAGAAAAAACTCCCACTTCATTCTTCCACCCTGACGTCGGTGTCTGCTCTGAGAGAGGTGCTTGGACCCCTCTAAACTAAACTCAGTGTTAGGCCTGTCACAATCAAGACATTTTAGCTGATGATTCATTGCCACACAAATAACTGACATTAACATTCTAATTGTTTGAAGTTATTAATTGTATGTAACTACTACAGTAGAAACTTAAAGAGGCCAATGTGGCTGATTAGCTATGGTGCTTCCTAGCTGATTAACTTAGTAGCTCCTAATTGACAACAGACACAGCTCAAGTTCAAATAAACAAACATTACTCATCTCTGAGTCAGATGTTCTCAATAAATGTGTTTTCTGCTTTGCCTCAAACCAGCTGAAAAAATAATGCGGCCATTTCACAATCTGGGTTTTTTTTTGAGACATACAAATTATGAAAGCTAACAACTGTGGAAAATATGCAATCAGCTTAAATATAACTATCAAGTAATGTAATAACTGTGACAGGTCTACTCAATGTAAATCAACTACTCTTAAACCCTTAAATGGTCAGGACATGCTGACTTGTCCAAACTTTTATTGCACATTTCTATAATCTAAGATTAACTCAGCTAGTAATACCTCCAGTACATGTAGTTACTGAATAATAAGCCTGGGATTTTGAGGGGTTAACAAGGATTCTCAGACATTGTTCCCAAGCAGACATTTATGTGTTCACATCCAATCAGCTCAACAAGTCCACACACAACCTTACGATTACGTGGACAGCTCACTCGTAAAGCTCATTTTTCTTATGTCATAGTTGGCAACACAAGCTGATAGATATACACTTGGATTACAGCAGTAGCCCATTTGGCTTGGGCCCGATGTGGGTGGACACAGCTACAGTGAACATCAGAGTGTAGGAAGAGTGAAGACAAATGACTAAGTTTTTTACACCCATAAAACAAAGTTTTTGTTGCCTCCCGAAAGTTTTGGAACATGGCACGGATGACTGGCGATATAGATAAGCCTGTGCAGTTCTACAGACTTTGCCCTCTGAAGTCGTACTGTCATAAGCAACGCAGTACACAAAGGGACTAGTCAGAGATATGTGGGTGGAAGAGTCAGCGGTTAAAACAACAATGCCTCCAATGTAAAAGGCCTGAAAAAATGTGTGAAAGCCAAATAACTGGTCTGGAAAAACTCAGGAATGTGCTCCACCCCCCCACACAAGCAATTTTAAAGGCTCTACTGAGAAAGACAAATCCATCCCAATCAAAGTCCAATATCATTTACCCAGTTAGATCCCTTTAAAGTTGGAGGCACACCTACTGCTATTACACTAATCTCCACTAATCTCTAGATTTCATTGTTTATTGACCCTTATGAGTGTTATAAACTAGATAACAATGGATTATAATGGGATTAAATAAGAATTAAAAGATATAAAATACATGTATATTTATCTAACCACCAACTGAAATAAAGCCTGGTCCAGCCATGTCACCTCTAAAATTCTCCTACTCAATATTCCTCTAAATCCCTGTTCAAATCAGCCTCCACCCCCACTCTTGCTTCTTAGCCAATCACAAAAGTGCTTGTCCAAGAGTGGCAGGTGGCGATAAGCCCAGAAGAACAGAAGTCATGCAAAGAAAGAGACGCTCGTAAAACTCCAATGAGAACAATGTCACTAGCAACTTTATTGTCTCCCTGTTTGGGGGTTAAGCACCTTCTCCAACAATGAATGCTATGAGGCCTTCTGCTCCAGGGCAGCTCACCCAACTCCCAATTAACTTTAATGATTACATGGCTTTCAAGAAGCCAAATGCTACAAACCATAAAGTGATAAGTGAGTGACATAAAAATGAATGCGGCAGTAGTTGGCATACAAGTTAAAGAAGTGATGGGGGTACAGAAGAAAAACCAACACAAAAGCCAATTGTGGAGTCTGAGCTTGCACACTCATTCCTGACTTCTGCCATCATTCAAAGATAACAAGACACCCCTCTCATAATCACATCCCTCCCCCAGGCCTCGTCACTCAGTCCTCCACCAAAGGTAGCAAAAAACATTCCAAGCGTCTCCTGGAAACAATGTAATTTTGGAGGCATTGGGGATCTACCTTTCTTCCATGCTGCTACATATTACTGAAAAACTTCCCCATTCCCTGATGAACCCAATGTCCGTTGCAGGTGCAGCTTGCCGGATCTTGTTAAAGCACCAGAAGCCAAGGTCTCCAGAACATTCCTTCCTGAGCTTTCCCTTGCTTATAATTTCCATTCTCACAGCTGTTCATTGTATGAGCAAGAGCATCATTGCTGCTTGAACAAAATCTTTATTTATATTATTTTTAATCTCTAATTTTTTTAGCAATTTGAAAATGACAGCTTTCCTTTACAATGTGTCGATTCTTAAGACAAATGGACCAATGGAAATGGCCCAAAATTACTTGGAAAACTCTCTCATTATCTTAACATACATTAAGAGTTAGGAACGCTTTATCTATTTCTCCTGTAAAGTTACCATTTTGGAGATATGATGGCTCAACAGTGACAATATGCACGCGGACAAGAGTTTTTGAGGGACTTCTCTCTTTTTGTGCTTTGCTAGGTGAGAGAAATCCTAATTGGGAGCAGATTTTGTACTGTCTATGCATTTCGGAAACAAAGGGGAAAAATAAGAAGCATGAAACTTAATTTCCCACTTTTCATGAGTAGGTGAAGGTCTATAGGAGACACCCACCCCCCTCCCCTCCCTTATCTTTGATATGGTTTAGGGTTGCAGCTGCCCAGCATGAGAAAACCTACTTTTCAACACCACTGAGTTAAACCCATATTTCCCACCACTACAAAAGGCGTCCAGAGAGCTGCAGCCCTCAATTACACGATAACTGACTCAGTGTAGCAAGGGTGTGCCAGGAGCCTTCCCTGTAATCTGCGGTGAGGTGTAGTCATAGAAACACACACACAGAAACAAGGTAGTATTCAGGTAATGCTAGGCTTGCCCACTGAGTCACTTCAGCTGCCGGATGACATGAGAATCCATGAATGAGATAAGCCTGAGGAAAAAAAATCCCCACGAATTCCTAAATCATTCTATCATGGGAGCCTAAAGCTATCTAGGTAATGTACTATCAAGATTTAAAAGAAGGGAATGTACTTTCTGCATTTTTCTTAATTCTTGTTTTCAACAAGGAACAATTCTCACGGTATCAGTTCATTCATCAGTGTTTGTTTCATCTATGATATCTATAAAACCAGTTTTACCATCTCTGTGCCCACACACACACACACAAGCACACAGACATACTTCTCTACTGGTAACCTGGTATCTTCATGCTTCCTTCCCAAAGCACTAAACACACACACAGATCGGAAATAAAATGTGAGCAGGTGAGAGGGTGTGGACGAGGCTCACATTCCTTCACACTGAAGTCATGCTCTCTGTCTTCCATGCGCTCATAACCGACTCCTCGGAAAGCTCTGTGGTAAGCGCACTGCACACTTAGGCATCTTAGCACACACACTCGCACAAAAGCCCACTCCAGCGGGCCACCCACAAAGCCCTGCAGTTGTTCCCTACAAACCACTGACTGCTGTGACTTTACAAAGGTTTTTGGTTTTTAATTTGTTAAAGAGATCAGCTTTCATCCAAGATGGTAGTTGTATTTATATGTAAGTTTTCATTGTAAACCTCAAAGTGCTTTAGACAGCAAAATATAAGTAAAACACTGTAAACATAAAACACTACTTTCTAAATTAAATTGTAAATGAAATTACAAACCACAGGCAAAAATGAGTCACAGTCCAACTAGCCTAAACAAATCTGGATATAAAAACATCGAGTTTGCACTCCTAATATTCTCTGGACTGCTATTCCACAGTTTAGGTGCTAGATAAGAAAATGATATTCCACCAGCTCAGCTGATAGTGATCCTGGGGCTTTGCAGTGTTGTCTTGTACTTCACACAATACCTTCAACAATACGAGATTTGTGAACAGTAGATTTGGTCAGACATGAGCAATTTACACTGATTAGTGTTTCTTAATCACTGTGAAGTGTAAATAAATAAACATCTAGAACAATATTAGTTTAAAAAAGAGTGGCACATCATAGTACATTAGCCTCTATTTTATGTTTGTGTACTTTGTGGAACAAAGGTGCCTTAACTGAGTACTGGTACTCAGTATCAGCCGATACTCTAAGATATTGGAATCAGTATCAAGAGAGAAAACGTTGGATTGCACACCAACACATAGTGTGCAAAATGCCTCCTGGTATTCGGGGGTCCCAAGTTGGCTGGCAGCTAATTCACTGCCCATAGCGGCGTTGATGTTAGCTTTAATGGCAACGAAATGTTTGGTTTAATAAATCTTCTTTTGGAAATGCTCCCATCTAGTTTGGTAATGCTGTCTTCCACACATCAACTGACATCTTACAGTCACAATTTATTCTTTTTATCAATCTCAAATTTTTAGAGCTGCAAATATGCTACAGTTTTTCATAGGTATCCAGGGCACAATTACAGTTGCTATGCTATGAAAGACCAGCTGGGTGAACCAGTTTGCAACAGTGCAACCCTGAGGCAGACCAGTTGCTGCACCACTAGTTGGTTAAGAATACGAAAGACAGAAGCTCGCCATTTCCTTAGTAAAGCTAAACAAATTTTCCCTGAATTTGCATTTAAGCTTCTGGTTTTCCCTAACGGGCAGCATAACATCAAAGTAAGTTTATTGTCAGGGAAACCTTTGATTTTGAGACATTTAGAGGGTCCAAGAGGCTAACTGGGAGGGTCCAGAATCCCCTAGGACCCTCTGTATTACACAACATATAGGCACAAACACTCAAATCTTCTTACCTCTGCAGGTCTGTCCCACAGCCTGGTAGCCAGCTCTGCAGTGGCACTGTCCGACAGGCACCACCCACTCTCCTTCGGCAGTGCAGTACATGCGCGGAGCCGCCTGTCCGGCCACCACTGCATCCTTCACGCAGGTTCCCTCAACCTCAGCCAGCGCTCCAGCAGTCACCCTCTCAGGGAAGGTGGCCAGGTTGCGCTGGATAGCCGGACAGGTAGTATAGAACACCCTGACCCCCAGGAGAGCCACGCATGCGCCAACATCTTGGAAGGCCAGGTAGAAGCCCCGTCTGGAAAGCGGCCCGATGACCTTGGTCTCCACGTTCACCTGTACAGATGCCCGGCCGCCACCCCGGTTTGCTGTCACCTCATCAGGAGCCACTGTGGCGATCTTGCGGAACTGACCTTTCCGGAAGTTGGTGCCCACATCCATGTCTGTTTCAAATAGGTAGAGGCCAAAGGTCTCCCGACAGGTGGGAGTGGCCCCACCAAAGGTGTTGCAGTCACGAACGACAAATCGCAGCTCAACAGAGACGCGTGCAGCTTCAAGTGGACGCTGGATAAAGGTGGTCCGAAGCCAGTTGTCCTGTTCGGAATCACTGGCCACGTTGCACACGCTGTAAGTGTAGAGGAGGGAGCCATTCACCACTGTCTGGACTATCTCCCACTGAGATAAAGAGAGAGAAAAAAAAAAGACAAGAACAGCGAGTGAGTGAGTGAGAAGGAGAGAATAGTGTACACACAGAGAGACAGAACATTACTGTTTAAACATGCTCTATACTTTAACACATACACAAAAATGCTAGTTACAAAATGCACCATTCACTCTCCAGGCCATACAGTCCATATATGGAAACTAAACTGCAAAACAGCCTGTTTTGAGTTCAATTTATTTGTGATGTCACAAAAAACAAACACGTACAAATATCTACCTATTGAGCCTATAGCAATTTAGCCCATTTATGTTAAGGTTATAAGGATAGTTAATAAGTCTTTCAGCCTGAACAGCTTTTTGAATGAGGCATAATACAAGACAACCAATCAGAACAAAGCTCATTTACATATATCTTAAAGGCACAGTAACAAAAACAGCCTTTTTCATTCTAAGGGATAAAAAGAAGTTGAAAAATGTTCATATAAAAATACCTGATGACTGTTTTTGGTACATAAACCCACACAAATATTATAAACGGTAAAAAAATAAAACATAAGAACTGTAGAGCACGGGCCCTTTAACAAATTTTAAATGCATCCAGAATCTAACAGTTGTTGATGATTCAAGAATAAAGCTTAAAATAAAGTCCATACTAGGATGCCTTGTGGTTGATCAAATCTCAAAGCAGATAACTTGGAAGAAATAACTATAAACAGATCAACACAGTATATATATATTTAATTTAAAAAAACTTATAGTTGCTCCCAAAAAAAAATCCCAAAATACCTTCTGTCATCTTTCAGTTTACACTATATAAGTTATGTCTAAATAAAATAACAATTGTTAACAAGACTCTGGAAATGATTCCAAACTTTCAAACCATAGCATATATATACATGGGTATGTGCGCACAGACATACCTTCACAAATTTATTGTGATATTTCAGTGATTTCAGAATGAGTGTGCAAGGAAAGTGACTCATATTTCACCTGGGTTGCATATCAGGCATCTATGGTGTGAGTGTGGGAATTACATGTCTTGGCATGCCTTTCACCAAAGGTCTTCTTAGGTGTATCAAAGTGAGCAAAGACAGACAATCCTCCATGAAATAACAGCCCTCCTCTTTCCCACTCTCATCTCCCTCTTGACATATAAAACTCCCTCTTCCCTCTGCTCTCTCAAAAGCACTTCAACAGTGGGTCAGGCCAGGCATGCAGACCTCAAAGGCCTTGTGTGGACACAGTGGCTCAAGAGCTCAGAGAAACAAGGGGTGGCCTCCAACATCAGAAAGAGAAAATGACAGGACTGGTCTCCAAAAGAGTAATTAAACCCCCCACACACCTCCTTCCAGCCAGAGAGTGTGAATACCTCGAACTTGCCCTTAAACCTGCCGAGCTGTCTCCATGGGGGGGCCAAATTTGGAGTGTAAATCTTTCGTGAGACCTTGGAGTGACTGCAGGAATCCATGGAGGATTCTCGTAATCCCAACGCCTCACCAGAGGCAAAATGGCTCACTCACTGCCCCGACCACGTCTCCATTTCCTCTGGTCCCTCAGAAAGGAAACCACATGACTAAAGATAGAGGACAGCGCACTCCCTTGTACACAGGGCTTGGTGTCTTTCTTTACCCTACTGTATATAACACTGTTCACAGAATCCATTAAGCCGTGCCACTATTCATAGGATAAGGTGAGCCATGTGAACCACAGAAATCATGGGCTGTTTTTATAGGTAACTGAGCTGACATGGAATAAGGCAAAATTACAAGGCAAATGATACTCCACGTTCTTACAAGTCTAGAAAACTGGCCCTGAAGTTCTTAAATGACTTTTTTTTTTTATCAAAAAAATAGCAAGAACAAAGGCAGTTTATCTGAATTCCAGTACAAATCAAGTTCAACATGAACAGCTGGGAACCTTATCACTAGATATGAGGAAATGTGACTCACAGGGAGGTGATGTTTTAAGAGCTGTGGCTATACCCTTGACTCATGAATGTAATGCCTTTGAAATGTGAAAATGTACAGTGTAATTAGGTTAGGAAACAGGACAAAGGTTCAAATAGCTCTCTTACCCCTTCTTCACTCGGTGAGGTTAACCAACCCAGCTCTCCTCCAGATGCCTTCATATCGAGCAGCATGTCTGAAGGAACACACGTTAACAGATTCACAAACATGGTCCACGATATGACTGAACAAGCTTAAAAGAAAATTCCACTGATCGTTCAATTTTTCATTTACTGAGATGCAAACAAAGCCATTCAGAGCAGTTTGGTGTGAAATGGTTCACTGTAGAAAAACTGATTTCTTTACAGTGGTGGTGACAGGAACCAGGAGTCACAGGGCCTATGATGCAAATATAGCCACTTTATTTGCAATCCAAAATGACAAGTGTCTTCTAATTTTTTTAATATGATGTTAATAATGGCTGAATGGTAGTAAATCTGAAAAACCTGTTTTCATTTGGTACTATGTATGTAAAAATAGTTTTAGGCCAAAACCTCATCTAAGAACTATCGGAAAACAATATCTTGTGCATCAGCATTTCCATAACCTATCATATAGTAACTTTTGGAGATATAGATTTTAGAGGCCGCGGCTGTCTTGTTCCTATCAGCACCACTGTGAAAACTTTATCACAGTAAATGTCTCAGGAAAAGATGATTTCCCATCAAATCACTCTGAATGACTTGGTTTATATCTTAACGATTAAAGTATCCAGACATTTTGATAAAAGAGTGGAATTTCGCCTTTAACAGTTGGCAGACATTATGGACGGATACCATGTTCAAATGACTCAGTTAAAGCACCACATTAAATGACTCACTTAAAAATATTGTAAATTCAAAATGAAGAAAATTTAACACAACTGTAAATCCAAATAGACTTTTAAAAAGTAAGACTACAGCTGGAAATTCAAACATGTTACATTTATGATACAAGTACGTGAATGAAATTAGTTTAAAAAAAGAAAGAAAAGACTACTTACGCTCCTTGGAGTGGGTTACAATAAATATGCTGTTAATAAATAAATACAGGAAGACTGAGCAGGTCTGTACACGGCGGTAATCCATTTTTTCTCCTTTACTTGAACTTCTCCGAGCTCATTTACGGTGTGCCGGTGGCTCCGGAGCGCCTGTCCAACTTTTCCACACTGAGAGCGAGAAGCTCATTCATGAGAAAGGAGCGCCTGTAGCTCCGCCCCCGGAGCCACCTCAGTGGGAGGGGGCGGGGCCACGCAGCACGGCGTGTGATGGCGGAGCTTCCGCCACATGAGAAGCGTGGAGTCGGATGTTTGCCTTCGCTCATTTTTATGACAGGAGTAAAGCCCTCTGTGTAAACGAACCGGGTAACTTAATACCGCACAGACTGAGAGGGACATACAACATAATGAAGGTTTCTTAGACAGGATATTAATGAACTGTAAGCTCTGTTTTGTTGTCGAAGTTAGCTGTTCCAGTTTAGCTAAACGTGTATGCTGAAAAGGTTATTTGAAGCTCAGGTTATCTTTGAAGGCTCCTAGGCTAAATACAGAAGCACCAGGTTTAGGAAGAGGGAGAGTTAACGTTATAGGTCTAAGGTTGCCTTAAACATGTTGAAAATGTTTCGCCAACCTAGCCTCCCTACAGCGTTCCCACGACAAAAGGCGAAGGGTCAAGTGGGAGTGCCTCTATGAATGAATGACTACTAATGACTTCAAGGGGTATGAATATGTAGACACCGAAATTCGTTGGACAAAAGCATTGCCCAGCAACGCTGAGGAATTCTTGAGTCAGGCCTCCTTTGTGAGGCAGTCTGTCAGAGTCCCTTGACCTGAGAGTCAAACACAAGCTGACTTCTTCTCAAGGGCTTAGGGGCTGCCTGCATTGTGTTGAGTGCCTATGAATATTCATTAGACTGAAACTACAGAAAAGGTCTCTCCCTTAATTTTGGAGAAACCCAAGCAGACCTTAATGTGGTTTCAGCCTGAATGAAGCCGCAGTCAGTAATGCAAACTTTCAGATGAGTGCTGAGAACAACAAAATATCAAAGATATGAAATGCAGGAAATCACATCATCATATTAACCCAATTGTGAGGAGACAGGTTCAGATCTAGGAGCTGCTTCTACACTGTTCATGTAAAATGGATGATTAATGACTTTGCTCTGTTTGGTTTGTAGGGACAAGACACTTGTGTTATGAAGGGCATTTGTCTTCAACAAATGAGGTGCCATGGCCATTGAGGTGCATTCACAATGCGAAGGTCCCCTTTTCACTCAAGTGCCATGTGTATAGCAGGAGTCTGGAGTTTTCCACCTCACTCCCACCATTCTTAACAGGGCGGTGGGCTTCTTTTATTCTCGCCCCCCCTCTGCAGCACCCTGTGCCACGCATCAACCCTTACAAAGCCGTTCGCACAAGGGGGCTGGGCCCGAGCTTAAGGGGTCACGAAACTGTAGTAGCACCGACACGGCGAGGTCATTTCACTCTCCCACCCCCCTCCCTCCCACTTGTCTCCCCTTCCAGCAGCTCTCAGCGCAACAGAAACCCCAGTGGCAGCTCTCCATTGTGTGCAGTGCTGAGTGCGTCTGCTCCTCAAAGGCTTTGTTAACGGTCACAGCCTACTGCTGAACTCTCGAGCGGTGTGATGGTGCGAGATATGTGTTAGAAACATATGGAGGGCTGTTAACACATTTTCACTACACAGTTAACAAGACTAGTCAAAGGAGTTGTGGAGTTAGGGGGAGTTATATTTTCACATTAGGGCCAATAAGTATGAAGTGTTTTTGTAAAAGATGTAATCCAGTATACCCCCCCTGTGTATTATACATAGTTTTATACATATTCTCCCCTGTGTATTATACATAGTTATGTACAGATACTCTCCTATGCTTTATATAGTTTTATACCTACCCATCCCATGTATTGTACATAGTTTTATGCATATTCCTCCTATCTATTCTATTCTATTATACAATAGCTTTATACATTTTCTTCCTATGTATTATACATAGCTTCATATATTTTCCCCCATGTATTATACATAGCTTTATACATATGCCCCAATGTATTATACATAGCTTTATGCATATTCCTCCTATGTATTATACAATAGCTTTATACATTTTTCTCCAATGTATTATACAGAGCTTTATACATATTCCCTGTATGTATTATACATAGCTTTTTATATATTCCCCCTATGTATTATACTTAGCTTTATACATATTACTCCTATGTATTATACAATAGCTTTATACATTTTTCTCCTATGTATTTTACAAAGCTTTATATATATTCCCCCTCTGTATTATACATAGCTTTATACATATTCCCCCTATGTATTACACATAGCTTTATATATATTCCCCCTATGTATTATACATAGCTTTATACATATTCCCCCTATGTATTACACATAGCTTTATATATATTCCCCCTATGTATTACACATAGCTTTATACATATTCCCCCTATGTATTACACATAGCTTTATATATATTCCCCCTATGTATTACACATAGCTTTATATATATATTCCCCCTATGTATTACACATAGCTTTATACATATTACTCCTATGTATTATGCAATAGCTTTATACATATTCCTCCTATGTATTACACATAGCTTTATACATATTCCCCCTATGTATTACACATAGCTTTATATATATTCCCCCTATGTATTATACAATAGCTTTATATATATTTCCCCTATGTATTATACATAGCTTTATACATATTCCCCCTATGTATTACACATAGCTTTATATATATTCCCCCTATGTATTACACATAGCTTTATACATATTCCCCCTATGTATTACACATAGCTATATATATATTCCCCCTATGTATTACACATAGCTTTATATATATTCCCCCTATGTATTACACATAGCTTTATACATATTCCCCCTATGTATTACACATAGCTTTATATATATTCCCCCTATGTATTACACATAGCTTTATATATATATTCCCCCTATGTATTACACATAGCTTTATACATATTACTCCTATGTATTATGCAATAGCTTTATACATATTCCTCCTATGTATTACACATAGCTTTATACATATTCCCCCTATGTATTACACATAGCTTTATATATATTCCCCCTATGTATTATACAATAGCTTTATATATATTTCCCCTATGTATTATACATAGCTTTATACATATTCCCCCTATGTATTACACATAGCTTTATATATATTCCCCCTATGTATTACACATAGCTTTATACATATTCCCCCTATGTATTACACATAGCTATATATATATTCCCCCTATGTATTACACTTAGCTTTATACATATTCCCCCTATGTATTATACAATAGCTTTATACATATTCCCCCTATGTATTACACATAGCTTTATATATATTCCCCCTATGTATTACACATAGCTTTATACATATTCCCCCTATGTATTACACATAGCTATATAATATTCCCCCTATGTATTACACATAGCTTTATATATATTCCCCCTATGTATTACACATAGCTTTATACATATTCCCCCTATGTATTACACATAGCTTTATATATATTCCCCCTATGTATTACACATAGCTTTATATATATATTCCCCCTATGTATTACACATAGCTTTATACATATTACTCCTATGTATTATGCAATAGCTTTATACATATTCCTCCTATGTATTACACATAGCTTTATACATATTCCCCCTATGTATTACACATAGCTTTATATATATTCCCCCTATGTATTATACAATAGCTTTATATATATTTCCCCTATGTATTATACATAGCTTTATACATATTCCCCCTATGTATTACACATAGCTTTATATATATTCCCCCTATGTATTACACATAGCTTTATACATATTCCCCCTATGTATTACACATAGCTATATATATATTCCCCCTATGTATTACACTTAGCTTTATACATATTCCCCCTATGTATTATACAATAGCTTTATACATATTCCTCCTATGTATTACACATAGCTTTATACATATTCCCCCTATGTATTATACATAACTTTATACATATTCCCCCTATGGATTATACTTAGATTTACACATATTCCTCCTATGTATTATACAATAGCTTTATACGTTTTTCTCCTATGTATTATACATAGCTTTATATATATTCCCCCTCTGCATTATACATAGCTTTATATATATTCCCCCTATGTATTATACATATCTTTATACATATTTCCCCTATGTATTACACATAGCTTTATATATATTCCCCCTATGTATTATACATATCTTTATACATATTCCCCCTATGTATTACACATATCTTTATACATATTTCCCCTATGTATTACACATAGCTTTATATATATTCCCGCTATGTATTATACATCTATACATATCCCCCTATGTATTACACATAGCTTTATATATATTCCCCCTATGTATTACACATATCTTTATACATATTTCCCCTATGTATTACACATAGCTTTATATATATTCCCCCTATGTATTATACAATAGCTTTATACATATTCCCCCTATTTTCCTCCTGTGTATTATGCATTGCTCTATACATGTTCCCCCTAAGTATTGTACATAGCTGTATGCATATTTCCCCTACGTATTCTACATAGCCACCATATGTATTATATTGTATGCAAAACGTAATGGTACAATTGGCTGCAGAGTTTCTTTCTTTGGCCAGTTGTGTGTCATTGCAGTAGTTCACCCCCTTACACTGTAAAGCCTGTATGTTGGCCCATACAATTCTTCACTCTTATAACTAAACAACTTACATATTAGTTTCTGAAGCTACTGAACAATTTACAGCAGTTGCTAAATAATGAGGCTTTAAGAGAATACCTGGCATATATGCCCAGGGCCCTTTTTTAACATGGATTAAACGAGTCAAACTAAATTGCAAAGCCAGTAGTGCCTTCAGTAACTCCAGAAACTAATATGTAAGTTATGTAGTTATAAGAGTAAAGAATTGTGTGGGGCAACATACGGAGGCTTTATAGTTTAGGAGGGTGAATCCTCTATTTAGTCAAGGCTTAGGCTTAATCTATAGTGGGTTAATGGGCCACTGGAGTTTAAGTGGTTAAAGTGTAAGAGAGCAAACAGAAGGTCTAGCTGACAGATTCTACATGTGGCATTTGCAACTGGAGTGTGT